TCATTTTACATGACTATGGGGTCTAAACCATGACCCATGAACCCCCTGGCCAGAAACCCATGCCCACATGCCATCCTGACTTACACAGACCAAGCCAGGTGCTTGGCTTTGGCCCAGCAGGGACAAACTTGACTCCTGGATCATGTTGAGCCTGCTCTCCCTGCTCCAGGAGGGACGGTGCTCCTGTGTCCCCTCCCTTTACCGACTGGAGTTCCGTGGAACCTTGAACCTAACAGGCTTTGCTGACCTCTCCTGCTAGGGCCTTTCTCCGGGCTCTGCAGTCCCAAGAAAAGCCTGTTGCACTGGCTTTATAATTTGCACTCATAGATCTCATTTGATCTCAGTGTAGCTGTAACATTGCTGGCCTCACTCTGCATTGTCCGGCACAGAAGTAAATGAGCATTTTCAGAAGGCGGGAGCTGTGGGTTGGCTCAGAATTAGAAGTGATGTTTAGATACTTATTGCCTGATCTGTGTAAAATATGCACACACATCTAACCCAGAAGGATCAGTGTTAGACACCGGATGGCACACCGTCTTCCTTATTCTCCTTCTTCTCACCGAAGGCACCCCTCTGTCTCCCTAAGCTCATATGTGCTCATAAGACCTCCATAGTCGCGTGTGCTCACATACGCCTCATTTTCAAAACACCATACACTAATTCCAATTTTCTTAATATCTTGCCCTTTTTTGTAATCTGGTTCCCAAGTAGAAGCCACACAGGGGTGGCTGAGGGTCACCAAGCTGGACCCACAGCTGATATTCAGACTTGCCCTGGGCAACACAGGGAGACTGAAAGTTAGGGTCACTGTCTAAAGGCAACAACACCTGTTGCTCCTGTATACTTCACGAGGTCATTCTGAGGTTCAAATGTGAAAATCAATGTGAAGGGGCTTCGTAAAGCAGAAACTTTACGCTACATATATGCTAAGAATGTAGAAGCTCTGGGGCGCCTGGGGGGGCTCAGTTGGTTAAGTGTCCAACTCTTTTTTTTTTAATTTTTTATGTTTATTTATTTTTGAGAGAGAGAGAGAGAGAGAGAGAGAGAGCGCGCATGAGTGGGGAGGGCCAGAGAGGGAGGAAGACACAGAATCCAAAGCAGGCTCCAGGCTCTGAGCTGTCAGCACAGAGCCGACGCGGGCTCGAACCCATGAACCACGAGATCATGAGCTGAGCCGAAGTCGGCCGCTTATCCGACTGAGCCACCCAGGTGCCCCAAGTGTCCAACTCTTGATTGCGGCTCAGGTCATGATCTCACAGGTTCATGAGTTCCAGTTCCATGTGGACGGTGAGGAACCTGCTTGGGATTCTCTCTCGCCCTCTCTCTCTGTCCCTTTTCCTCCCCCTCTCTCTCAAAATAAATAAACTTTAAAAAAGAATAAAAAAGTGCTAAAATGATAATCATGTGATGTGATAGAGGTATTAGCTAACGCTACTGTGGCAGTGATATTGCAATATAAATGCATCAAATCAAAATGCAGTACACCTTAAAACATACACAACGCTGTATGTCAAATATAACTCAATTAAAAAAAAAGAAAAAGAAGAAGGATGTGAACGTGCTAAGACCAGATTACCTCTGGTTCTCAAGAACTGTGCAGAAGAATCACCAGGAAACTCTATTGAAAATTCTTGAATCAGAATCTGTGGGTAAAAGTCCTGAGAATCTGCTTTTAAAGATCCCAAATACAGGGGCCTGGGTGGCTCAGTCAGTTGAGCATCCGACTTCAGCTCAGGTCATGATCTCATGGCTTGTGAGTTTGAGCCCTACATTGGGCTCTGTGCTGACAGCTCAGAGCCTGGAGCCTGCCTTGGATTCTGTGTCTCCCTCTCTCTCTGCCCCACCTGTGCTCTCTCTCTCTTTTAAAGTAAATAAACATTAAAAAAATTTTTTTAAGGTCCCAAATACATTCTGCTACAAATTGTCCTTGGTCTGCCCTTGGAGACATCCTCATCACTTAGGCTTGGGTCTCTTCATTTAAGCCAAATTAAGGCTGAACAAAAAGAAAGGGGCCTCTGCCTGAGCTCCACATGGCCTATACCACTGCCTACACGCCTCTTTTCCAGTAGTTCTGGGAGACCTGGCCTCAGCTAGGAACTTACAAGGAGCATCAAACAGTACCATGGGCTACTGGAAAATTCTAAGTAGTTGGGTTGATTTCCTGATTTATCCAGACCAGGATCTCTATGCCAGAGAAACCACCTGCCCTGAAAGTACCAGGACTTGTGTGGAAAAACCAGAAAGGCAGAGAAGAAAGTAAGGCAGAGAGATCAAAGGACCAGGTAAGAAAGCAGTAAAGGAGGGAGCACCTGGGCGGCTCAGTCAGTGAAGCATCTGACTCTTGATTTCAGCTCAGGTCACGATCTCAGGGTTCGTGAGATCTAGCCCCGTGTTCGGTTCTATGTTGATCATGGAGCCTGCTTGGGATTCTCTCTCTGTCTCTCTCTCTCTCTCTCTCTCTCTCTCTCTCCCTCCTTCCCTGCCCCACCCCCACCAAAATAAATAAATAAACATTAAACAAAACAAAACAAAACAAAACCTACTAGGGGAAACAATCGAATTTCTGCGAGAACCCTGTCGGTCACTTCTGGGCTAAGTTGCTCCGTGGAGACTAGAAAAGCAAGAGAAGCTCCAAGGAGGGGACTTCGGTGACAGCAGCTGAAACGGTGTGAGTAGGACTGGGCTGTAGAATCTTTGCAAGATGCTGGCAGAGTGACCTGTGTGCCCCACAGTGATTTGACAGGAATGCAAAAACATCCCGGAAGAAATTCCCCGAACAATTCATTGCGTTCCCTTCTTGACTGTCTTTCCTTTTGGCCGAAGGAAGCAGCAACATTCCTGACTTGCTGTGAAAGTCTTGCCAGAATGACTCTACTTGCTGGAATACTCTTTGTTCTTTCTAAATTACTCATTTCCATATTAAAGAAAAAGAGGTACATGTAACCTTAAGTGGGTGGGGCTTCCTCTGGGCTTGAACCCCCTGGGTTGGTCTAGACCAGAGGTTCTTAAATATTATGACGACCCCTTTCCACGCTCAAAAGTAATTGAGGACTCCCAAGAATGTTTGTTTATGGGGTTATATATCACTATTTACCATATTAAAATTAAAACAGAGAAAAGTTGAAAACATTTATTCATTTAAAAATAACAAAAATAGGGGTGCCTGGGTGGCTCAGTCAATTGGGCATCTGACTCTTGATTTCAGCTCAGGTCATGATCCCAGGGTCACAGGATCGAGCCCCTCATCAGGCTCTGGGCTGAGTGTGGAGCCTGCTTGGGATTCTCTCTCTCTCTCTGCCTCTGCCCCTCTCCCCCACTTGTACCCTTTCTCTCTAAAATAACAAGTTTTTTAAATACCAAAAACAAACTCATCACGTGAGCATAAATAACACATATTTTTCTAAAACAAAGTAACATTTCCTAAGAGTGGCATTGCTTTACATTTGTTCACACATCTAGTATCTGGCTTAAAAACCAGCTGCTGCTTCCACGTTCATTGTGATACGATACATTCTTTTGGTTGAAATACATGAAGAAAATCTGGCTTCACGCAGATATATACTTGGAAAAGGAGGGAGTATTTTAATAGTCTTTCCATATGATTGCCAATAATCTTCTTTGAAACTGAAGTGGGTGCAATGTGGAATCTGAAAGCCTATCAACTAGTTACATAAAATCCAATCATCTGTATTTTCACACGCGCCTTTACCCACTAGAGAGCTCAAGAGGAGACGTGAACAGACAGAATAGTCAATGAATTCGAAGGTGATTGAGACGATCCAGTCTTCAGAACAGAAAGAAAAAAGAATGGAGAAAAGTGGGCAGAATCTCAGAGACCTAGGGGACACCACCACGCTCGCAACATGCATGAAGGGAATCCCAGAAAGAGAGGAAAGAGGCAGAAAGCGTGTCTGAAGAAAGTGGAAGTCCTTAGTTCAGAGAAGGCACTGCAATGATCGCTTACAAGCTTGGATTTTTTTTTTTTAATTGAGGTGTAATTGAAATATAACATTACATTAGCTTCAGATTGACATATTGCATTAGCTTCAGATGTACATTGGCTTCAGACACATAACATTACATTCGCTTCAGATGTGTCAAATAACGATTTGATATTTGTATACGTTAAGAAACGACCACAGTAAGTCTAGTTAACATCGATCACCACTCAGAGTTACAAATTTCTTTTTCTTGTGATGAGAACTTTTAAGATCTATTCTTAGCAACTTTCAAATATACAATACAGTATTATTAGCTCCAGTCACCATGCTGTACATTATGTTTCCAGGACTTACTTATTTTTTAACCAGAAGTTTGTGCCTTTTAAAAAAGTTTGGGTTCTCATCACAAGCAATAGATACTATTAGTTTTCCTTGAGGTGACAGGCCTACTTTGTTTCTTTTCTTTCCTTTTTTTAAACGATTTTTTGTGTTTATTTATTTTTGAGAGAGAGAGAGACAGAAAGACAGAGCGTGAGCGGGGGAGGGCCAGGGAGAGAGGAATCCAAAGAAGGCTCCAGGCAGCGAGCCATCAGCACAGAGCCCGACGCGGGGCTCGAACTCACAGACCGCGAGATCATGACCTGAGCCAAAGTTGGACACTCTACCGACTGAGCCACCCAGGCATCCCTAATGTTTATTTATTTTTGAGAGAGAGAGAGAGAGAGAGAGAGAGAGAGAATCCCAAGCAGGCTCTGCGTTGTCAGCAGAGAGCCTGATGCAGGGCTTGAACTCACAAACCATGAGATTACGACCTGAGCCTAGGTCAGACAATTAACCGACTGAGCCAGCCAGGTGCCCTGATATTCTTTGAAATGCCTACATTTCAATCCCCACCATGACTGCACCCTCGGGTGGTGGGTTTTCACATGCATTACTTCACATGTCTATTCATTCACTATCCCAGTGACACAAACAAAACAGAATGACTTACTCCATGTAGGGCTGCAAAGTGGATTTTCCGGCTCAGGTTTCTTCTCTTCTTCCTTTTGTCTCCTGAAGGTCATTCCCCTGCTCCCCAGAAAACGCTCCCCGCAGAATTAAAATTCCTGAAACTCAAACCATGCGATCTGACCAGACGCCCCGAAGACGGTTCGTGGGAGACGAGGCTCAAGCTTTTGGCTCGAGGTGAGATGTGGAATCTTCTCTGGATCTCAGGTACTGTTCTAGTTTACTATGTTCTCCACTTCCCAGTGGAGGAAAACAAGTTCTGGGAACAAAATGCCTGCAGTGTTTTCATCGGTGCAGCCAGGAATGTGGAGGTGGGGAGGCCTCCAAAGCCCCCGCCTTCTGTCCCCACCCCGTGGATTTTCTGAGCCTCTCCTGCCCATGCAGCAGGGAGGAGGGAGAGCGCTCTGCTCAGTAAATACTTACACGATGACATCTGCATCCTTGCCAGGTGAAGGTCAAAATATTTTCTCGCACTAAATGTCTGTATTGTATTACTTCCCTAAGTGCTACTATCGATTTTATTGATTGAATCATTCAGAATAACTAATGGAGTAAGAAGGGCTTGGGTTTTTTCATGCCCCAAAACTACGTTTGTTATAGAGAATTCTATATTATGTTATGGAAGAATTCTAATATTAGAAACACACAGACCTTCTTGATCGCATCTTCTGCAAGCAGCTACGTGTATTTCCAAACTGATGAGGAGTTGCCGCACACATTTACCGATTTACTCATTTATCCAACAGATTTAATGAGCCACCAGTCCGAAGACTGAAAGGGGACTTGGAGCTGTGGCCCTCTGGACCCTGCCTCCCTCCCTGCTGTGTCCTTCTTTGCTCTGCCCTGTCTCTCGGAGCTGACCCTTGAGGCTGTGTCTCCCGGGCTCCCAGCACCGCTGGCTTCTTGCTACCCTGGAGCACAGGGAGGCAGGAGATTGGAGGGGGGGAGAAGGGGAAAGCCAGTCTCAGGTGGCATTTCTAATAGGCTGCATATACCCCTTCTGCCCTGTGACCCAGAACTAGCAGTCTTGCGGCCTCCCTTCGACGGAGCAGCCTCGGAGACGGCGACTTCTTGCTGACGTGAATCTCTGGGTGACCCCTGTTTGGCTCAGTTACCTATATAACCCCGCATTTCATGCTTGAAAATAGCTTTTGTCTTCCTGGTTAGACCCTGAATGATACAGAGATGATCTAGTTTACTGGAACTGAGGCCCAGAGGAGATGTGACTGCCTTAAGTCACACAGTTAAAAAATGATCAGAAGTGTCTACCGTGTGTAAGGCACTGTGTTGGCCTCCTTGTAGAAGACGGACATGGTAAATTCCTAGGCCCTTGCTAGGAGCTTCTCATCCAATAAGAGAAATGGTCTATCTATACCAACAGCTACAATGCAGGACAGTGGGTGCAAAAGCTGAAGCAGGCCCAGGAAATACGCAGTAGGACTTTGGCAGGAAAGTTGGTATATGCCTGGGGTTGGGGAGGGGGCTGATCATTCCAGGCAGGAGGGACAGCCACAAGGTGAGCCGCTGGGAGAGTTGTGGGCTCAAAGGTAGAGCCACCGCTTTATTTATCATTTAACCAGGACAGTTTAGAGAATGAAAAGGGACACTACTGATACACCGTGACCACAGGCAGAAACCAGGGCCATCCCAGGGAAACTGAGGCCGACTCAGGTAAATCAGGAGGTACGGTCACCCACCGGGAGTTGAGCAGGGGCCTGGATCATGGGACACTTTCCACCGCAGACTGAGGAGTCTGGACCTCAGGCCCCAAATGGGACTCCCTGGGAATCAGATCAAAACGGCCATTTAGGGAGGAAGGGAAGCCATTCGGTAAGATGCTCCCCACAAGTGCACGGTGTACCAGAGTGAGAATGGAGGGACCCCGCTCTCCATACGTGACATGGCCTGTGGCCCCCGCTTGAGCAGGGACACCTCATTCTCCCGTACGCCCTGCTGGACCTACAACAATATTAAGTCCCAGAGAAATTGATGGCACAGGACCTGTTTCCTTCCCCAGGGGAAATGCCAATTTTGCAGAGAGAGAAGAAGACTTTCGGGTGTCAAACAGGGAGTGGTATGCAGTTTGCAAACTCTAGCGTCACCGAATCCCCAAAGGCACAATCGAGGCAGGGAGTGCTTCTGGTGCTAGGAGGGGAGAGGTCAGGGTGGCCCGGATCGTCAGACCTCATGCCAGGAGCGTGGAACTTGAGCACAGGGGGAAGGATTACATTTTGGCTGGTGGGAAAGGGGGGAGGGCATTCCTGGCAGCTGTACCAGAGCTGGACCGAGCAGGTCCCGCATAAGGGACAGGAAAGAAAGGGCCCTGAAGGACGGGAGCAGTGGGCCGAGAGGCTCAGAGCAGCATGGCCCGGCACGCCGTAAACACCGACCCGGTAGTTCTCGGCTCTGGCTGCACATTACAATCACTCGGGATGCATTCTAGAAACAGCAGGGCCAGAGAGTTTTTAGGGCAGCGAAGTACTCTGTATGATACTATAATGGCGAATACATGTCATGACACATTCATCCAAAAGCATCGAATGTACAACACCAAGAGTGAATCCTAATGTAAACCACGGAGCCTGGCTGATAATGACGGCTCACGGAGGCTCACCGACAGTTAACAACCGTAACGCTCTGGTGGGGGGATGCTGACAGTAGGGGAGGCTGTGCGTTGGGGGGCAGATATGAAAACTGTACTTTCTGCTCACTTTTGCAATGGGCTTAAAACTGCTCTAAAAAATGCAGTATTTCAAAGGGGGAAAATACCAGGGTCAGGGCCCTACCAAAAAAAAAGCAATGAAGCAGCCTCTCGAGGGTGATGGGCTTTGCCATGCGTATTTTTTAAAGCTTCCCAGGTGATTCTAAGGGGGAGGCAGAGCCCAGAAGCACCTAAATGAATCTTAGCTCTCCTATGGTCATGAAGGAGGTAGGGGAATCGGTAAGCTGATGGAAGAGGAAGTATCTTTGCCTGGGTATGTATCAGGCGTGATTTCTTGGCTGTATTTTGGCACAGAAGTGCTAAGCTTTTGACAGGCTTTTGAATCTCTGGGAGCCATGCAGGCTGACCGGATATTCTTTAAACGTTTTTTTAATGTTTGTTTATTGTTGAGACAGAGAGAAACAGAGCATGAGTGGGGGAGGGGCAGAGAGAGAGGGAGACACAGAATCCAAAGCAGGCTCCAGGCTCTGAGCTGTCAGCACAGAGCCCGACGCGGGGCTCAAACCCACAAACTGCGAGATCATGACCTGAGTCGCCTGACCAGATATTCTTTAAATAAGAAATGAGCAAATGGACTTCCGAAGGGAAAAAAGCCTACAGCATTATTACCATCAGGCTTAGTTAACAGACAACCAAACCCTCTTGGCAAAAGAAAACTCAAGCATGGCCGGAAATAGTCCCTACCCACCACCCAGGTTAGCACAATGCCCAGAATGTGTCCAGAAATCTCAAGGTACATTGGGACACTAGGAAAGCTCCTACATTCAGCTGTAAATCCGTCTATGACAGACAAGGCAGCTTGAGAGCAGGACCGAGGACAACATACCAGCAAACACTGGAGGACCCAGAGCTCTTTTATAAAAGCAAGTCAGCTTAGAATTTCTGAAAGACTAGCACTGCTAACTCATCACACACCCGGCATGCCCCAGACCAAACTCTGGATTTTCCCACCCAAACCTGTTTCTTGTCTCAAAAATATTTCGTTCTACCCATCGCTCAGGGGGCACGCCTCAGAGTCCATTTCTCACCCCCGCTTCTGCATCCAATCCAGCGGCAACTCCTGGCAGATGGGTCCAGAACCTGGCGGCTTCTTGCCACCTGCTCCAGGACCACCCTGGATTGGGCCACTTCATCTCTGGTCTGGATTATGGCATTGATGCTGCAGGGGGGGGAGGGGGGGTCTTCCCCGCCCTGCCCGGTCTCCTCTGCAGCCACCGTGACCTGGCACGCTCCCATCTCCGGCTTCCTGCTGCCCCTGCTGGTCCCTCTGAGAACACTCTTCCCCAGCACAACCCCACCCCCTCCCTCTCTTACCCTTCACGCCTCTGCTCATAGCACCTCAGCAGAGCCACCTCCTGTCCTGAGACTCTTTCCCTCCCCTTTCCTCTTTGTCACCCGACACTACTGATTTTTCTGGCATCGTTAATGTGCAACTCTTCCTCTCTCCCTGTCCCATGAGACCAGGGTTCACTGTGCTCTCTACCGGGTCCTCAGGGTCTTGATCGGCCCTGGCATACAGTAGGCCCTCCATTAATCCTTATTTTTGAAGGCAGTCCTCACGATCACTTCTTTTTGAGTTATACCCCAGCCCACGTGTTAGTAGATTCTGTTTTAGAGGACAGCTGTGGTGCAGGGAAATGCAGGGAGAGAGGGAGACACAGAATCCGAAGCAGGCTCCAGTCTCTGAGCTGTCAGCCCCGAGCCCGATGCAGGGCTCAAACCCACAAGCAGCGAGATCGTGACCTGAGCCAAAGTCAGATGCTTCACGGACTGAACCACCCAGGCGCCCCTAGAATGTTTGGCTTCTAATCCTGGCTTTGTTCCTAACCAGTTGTTAAGAACCTGGATGAGCCCCGTGATCTCTCTGGGCCTTGGGTGATCTATAAAGTAAAAACCAATTGGGTCTGACCAATTAAATCAGACCTTCTGAGGGGTAGGACCTGAGTATCAGCATTTTTTAAACGTAACAGAGAGCCAGGAGCGGGATGGGCTCCCCCGTGTGTCACTGGGTACGGGAATCGCCTGGGATCTTGTTAAAAGGCAGAATCCGATGAGGGCCGGGACGCAGGCAGTCTACCAAGCTCCGGGGCTGTGGCTGCTGCGGCTGCTGCCGCTCTAAAATCAAGTTTGAGGGCACGGTCTGCGAGTCACTTCCAGCCGGAGGACTCCAATATCTCTAGAGGGTGAAAGTCCCCTTATTAAATTCTCAGAAAAAAAATAGCAGCTGTCACTTGACTTGCTGCTCAATTTTTTTTTTTT